AAATTGTGTGACTTTTCTAGACACGCTCTTGTGAATTTCAACACAGACGTTGGCAATATTATTTTGCAATTCCTGGAAAGCAGACCAATTAAAGTGACAGTTATTTAAAAATCCCTTTAATAGATGAACATTAAATTTAAAGCAGCGATGGTGATTATATTTTTACACTGAACTTTTAAACATAACACTAACCTGTTCATATCTTTATTCCACAATGTATCATACCCTCCAATGTCAAAATAGACAACCAAACACTGCAGCACCCCCTAGACGTAGCAAATGGCTTTAATAATTATTTTGTTGGATGTGCTACCAACCTGGTTGCGAAGATAACAAATGACACTCATTTTCAGACCACAAATAAAGATCAGGCCCTGCCAAACCTTCAAAATCCTCATTTAGAGAAATTACATTTTAGACCTGTGCCTGTTAGTGTCGTTAATAAACATCTTAATAATTTAAAAATAAACAACCAGTGTGGACCAGATCAAATCCCAGCAATGTTGCTGAACCTCAGTGCACCAGCAATTGCTAAACCTGTCACTACCATTATCGATGAATCCCTGGTGTCAGGATACGTACCCGAAATTTGGAAGACTGCAAGTTGTATTTATCCATAAAAGTGGGTATCTAACTATCGCCCGATATCATTGCTCCCCGTATTGTCAAAAATCTTGGAAAAATGCGTCCAAACGCAACTATGTGAATATTATCAACAATCAAATTATCTGACCCCTGATCAATCAGGCTTTCGTCCAAATCACTCAACTTCGACTGCCCTCTTAAAAGTTTGCAATGACATCCAAATTGTCAAGGAACAAGGAGACTTAACTGGAGCTATTTTTCTTAATTTTGCTAAGGCCTTTGACACAGTAGACCATGGCATTCTTTTGCAAAAACTTAAAACCTCAGGCATTGGTGATCAACCGCTAAAATGGTTTTGATTGTATGTTTCAGACCGATTGCAATACGTGACCATTTCTGATAGCGCCTCCCTCCCTCTTCCAGTCACATGTGGTGTTCCCCAAGACTCCATACTCGGCCCCCTGCTATTCACATTATTTATAAATGATCTGCCAATGTCTGCAAATCCTCAACTGTACACATGTATGGAGACGACACCGTAATCTACGGTAGTAAACCCAATCTACCGCAGCTTGACGCTGTGCTCCAAAACCAATTCACAGAGGTAGAAAAGTGGATAGCGGATAACAAACTCTTCCTAAACACTGACAAAACTGTTACAATGATCTTTGGAACTGTACCTAAATTACGTAAACTACAAAATCAACAATTGTGTATCAGAACTAATTCAAATAGCACACTGACAGCAGTCTGCTCTTTTAAATATCTAGGTATGTTGCAAGACCCCAGTCTATCCTTTGGCCTTCACATTGAAAAAATGTCTTCAAATTTTTACCCAAAACTAGGTGCCCTGTACAGAAACAAATCCTGCGTAAGCCCTACAGTAAGGAAACAGATGGTGTAAACAAATGCTAATGCAGGTCATTGATTATGAGGATGGATGTAGTGTATGCACCAGCACCGCAAACCCACCTTAATAAACTTAGTACGTTATATAATTCGTTCTGCCGCTTTGTACTAGAATGTAATTACTTTGCCCACCACTGTCACATGTTAAAAGAGCTAAACTGGCTGTCGCTGAAATCCCAACACACTCTTCATCTTTCCAGCCTTGTGCATAAGAGCATTTCTGGGAAGCTCCCACCCTACCAGAGTAGAATGCCCTCCCCGGCTGTTATGTATTAATTTTATATATAGTTTGTATATTGTATTTTTGTAATATTGTATCCTCTTGTAACAATGCAATGTTTTGTGGACCCAGGACATACGTGAAAATGAGAGAAATCTTAATGTATCCATCCTGGTAAAATATTTTATAAATAAATAAATACCAGATAAATACCAACATGATGTCATTATGATTAGGTGTTGGAGAAAACATTGTAAGACATTTGTGTATTTGGTGTAACACTGTACAGTTCGATATATGGTGTAACTTTTATCCTATGCATCAAATTTTTGAAATCCTGTGTTTATGATTATTTATAAAACTATTTATTGATTTTATTTTTATATATGATTTAATTTTTTTTTTTAATATTTTGACTTTTTTAAAAAAAAGTTTATCTAAAAACATTCAATCATTTGAAAAGCTTATTCAAAAATATTAAAATCGAGACCTAAGTTGGGCATCAGCATCTTGTTTAGAAATATGACCATATTTATAAAATGTTATTTCTGTGTAAAAAAGATTGTCTTTTTTTTCTAAGTTAAAATATTGCATGTAGTTGTTTTATCAATCTCAGCAGGATGAATTACGGAGCTGACTCTGCCAGTTGTTAAACCTCATCGTTAAGATTTGCATGGTTGAAGCAGACACCATTTGAGCTATGTCACCTTGATTATGTATGAAATATTTAACATTCTGGAACATTCCGGATTAAAGCCATAAGATAGAACTAAACAGTGCTACAAGCATAAGAGAACTCACCGTGCGATCTTGAACCAGGTTGTGTTGTGTGATATGGCCAATAGCTACATCCAGGAGAGCCTCCTCAGGCCACTCGTCATACCAGTCAATTGTGCAGCAATTAACTAGAGAGGGGTTTAACCGGCAATGTTCTCTGAAAGTCTGCCCAGCGGGGCTTAGTGCCAGGACAACATGGAGCTTGCAACGCACCCGCTACCGTCACAGAGAGAAAGAAGAAATACAGTATTGAAAGATGCTATTATTAATTATACTTCTTATAGCAGAGGAAGAAAATCAATATTTGTGGCCACCAATTTCTAATAAAGATACAACTTCAATGGGAAATTAACAATTGAAATAATTCAATAATGAACATGTTACCAAACCCAAATAGATGGCTGTAGATGGGCAAACCATTTAAAATAAACAATGTAGGAAGATATTTTGTCTCCAAATTACTACAATGACATTTTAGAATACAAACTTGTCAAGTACTCAGAATCACTTTAGCTCTTATTTTTTGCCAGAAATGTTCCATAAAACTGATACATTGTTAGATTGTAAGCACACATGCCAAGCTCTAATCAGTTCCTGCTATAACTCTCCCCAATCTTGCTTTGTACAATTCAGCCGTGGAGCTATATAATTTACTCATGGACAGCAACATTTCTTGCCACGAACAGAAGTACCATTCTGTTAAATTAGGTCATAAGTTCTCAGAAGGTCAAGTTATACTCTGTATAAGACTGACATTGTGCTATATAAGGATGATCACCGAGTACCTGTAGGAAGAACGCGAGGAATGCCTGAGGGTTATCTGCCACGTTGGTCTCCAATGCCGCTGCCTTAAGTTCCACAAATATTCCATCCAGCTCTTCCTTGTCAAACAGTTCTGGAACCTCCCCGGAGCTCAGGATGCAGTTTATATCCTCCAAAAATGAGTCCTAGAACAAAATCCAAAATATTTTTAGTATGTATTTGCAAGAGCAAAAGGACAGTGCAATGAGTCACTCTTATTAGTGGCTTGTTATTTAAATGCAATAATAATAATATAATAATAATAATGCATTTAGCTGGAAGCAGGGCATTGGGGCTGTTACAGCTGGGAGTTATTCATTCAGTGAGTGCTGGGAGTGGGTTTATCAGGGCAGTAAGAGCTGGCAATTTATATGGATGGATGGATTAGACAAAGATAAATAGATACGCAGACAGACAGATAACATACAAGAATTATTGTATTTAAAGGGAAATGTCACTGTTACACATTCAGAAAGTTTATGTGTTTAATATATTGTTTCCTTTCCTGTAACGGCACTATTCGGTAAATGTTTTGACTTTTTTTGTTTCATTAAATAATTACTTTCCAGAATACATTAGAAAAAAATCAGTTTCTGGTTGTTACTTTGGCATTTCATTTGGTAATGAAATGGTTAATATACTAACCTGCTTCAATGTTCTCACCTTAACCAAGTCTGTGTCAGTAATAAGAAGTACAGTGTTCGTTCCCTGCAGCCCTGCCTGTTTGTACACTTTCTTCAATTCTTCGCGGAATTCTGCGTGGCTGTAATTCTGGGTTATAGACAACCGGAAGAGCTTACACTCTGATATGTAACATGCCATGGCTGCGTTGGTCACTTTTCCCATACCATCCAGCCCAATCTGTGAGTGTAAAGATTTGTTACAATATCAAACAATTTAAGATGTACATTTAATATGTCACCGGTTTCCAGCAGACATTTGCAAATGGCGATTCGTTTACGAATGAATTGAGTCGTTACCATAGAAAGGTATTATTCATTTCATTTATAGACGCACTAGTTCCATTCTTAAATTAAAACGCTTCCAGACACATACTGCGATCTAGATTACCAACTTTAAGCTACCTATGTTATTGGCCTTGGGAGAATGAAAAGCAGAGTTCACCTTGCTCAGGACCTGACGCTCTGAGATACTGCGGCTGGAGATCTATCCACTGAGCTATCTCACCAGCATTAAGTATAAATGAGATAATGACTTAAAATTAACTTGGTGACCTCTAAAACCATCTGTGACAATGAAAAAGTCGTGTTTTATGATGAATCTCAAGTCACGCTAAATGATTCAGACAACAATATGCTGCTACAATCTGCCTGACACAATGTATCACAATCTATTCATTCCAGCTACATAGGAAGACCAATTCATAAAAGTAATGATGGTGATATCAGGAAAACATTACATGAAGAAGTTTATTTACTAAAGAGTCAAATGGCAAAAAAACTGACAACTGGGACCAAAATAGCGCAAATGAAAAAAATAAAAATCTTGCGGTCAGATCTTGCTGATAGAGGTTTGCAGATAAGCATGGATCCGTTCCTCTGGGTTACAGAATCGCCAGTAGTGGAAATATCTGGGGTTGCTGTGTCTCTCGTGCAGAGGGAACTTGCTGGCATTTCAGATCTGGACTGCCCGTACGGGTGGGACCAGTCTGATATGCTTCAGAGATGTTCTCTCTGTAATGTCACAAGATGAGCTAAAACCAGCTTCAGATCTGGGCGCGAACCCACCGAAGGGCAGACTATTTCGGTGGGTTCGCGCTCAGATCTCAAGCTGGTTTTAGCTCATCTTGTGCCATTACAGAGAGAACATCTCTGAAGCGTATCAGACTGGTTCAGCTGCTGTCCGTTCTCGGTATTCTCTTGTGCCCTGTTTTTTGCTCTCCAGTAGAGGAAATATGCTTTAGTGACAGTCAACTTATCAAGATGCTCAAAATAGTAAGTGAACAATATGTAACATATTTAACACACAACATGCAGGACTTGTATATGTAATTACCTGGATAGATAAATGGAAATATAAAAACAAATCCTACATTTTCTTTTACATTTTTTTTTTTTTTTTTACCATAAAGTAAATTTACTCCCAGGTGGCAGTACGTGTGCCCTTCAATGCCTTGGCAGTTTTACGCAGATATGGCTGACCCCAACACTGCAGCCACAGCTCTGCCTGCAGCATCTCAAGGCGACGCTGTGCATACTCGCCATTTAACAAAAATGTGAAAGGAGTGGCCGTTAAGCTGTTATGGCTGTAATCATCTTATACAACAGGGGTTAATGGGAGACGATAGAGTTTGATAGGCCAGAATGAGAGGCTTCAGATTAACAGCATGGTCCCTTTAATTACATTTGTCTGGTAAAAAAAAATCCTGGCACAAAATACCTGTGAGGCCTGGAATAAAGCAAAACACTGAGGTAATAGTATCACAATGTAAATGGTTACAAATGCAAAGTAGGTTCCAAATATCTGTATGATACAGTTTGATGTTAAAACAAAGAAAAAGGACACAAATAACCCAGAATTATCTTACTTGCACTTCTCTTTTTGACCAATAGGTGGAGCTCAAGTAATTCTGTGTTTTCATGTTTAAATTGGAAAATGTTAAACCAATTTTCTGGAGCAGAAAGCTGCTAGACCAATTTAAATAAATACATTCTTATTTAGAACTCTGATTTGTAAAAAAGAAAAACAGACACAAGCAGGTTTGTAGCACAGACAGCAAGCCTTGAAAACAGACTCTCCAACGCATGCACCTCGCCCCACAAACGACTGAAATATGAGTTGACCTTAAAACATTTAGGAATTTAACATTTTCAATTGAATTGACAGATTTTCCAATTTATTCACAGGATGTACGATATGGTACATCTGCGGAGAATTGATAAAAGACGTGCAATTTTTATGCTACACTAATAAAACTGGGCTAATTCTTCAAATGAGCTATTTTCCCATTGTCGCCATTTCCACGTTCTCCGAAATTCCTGCTTTAGAGAATAAATCACAGGGTAAATGAAACGGGAAAAATGCGCCACGCTGTGGGAGTCGGAGGGCAGCTGCATAACAGCGGGATAAGGATGCAGAGTCTACTGATATATTGGAAAATTTGATTAGTACTGTCAAGAAAACAAAAATCAAAACTAGTAACAAAATTAAAAAATCAATATTTTCTCTTACAAGCATCATGTGGCCTCCCGGTTGTCTAAAGACTCGAGCGGCTCTTAGTATATGCTGAATGGCATCTTTAAAGAACACACAGACACCCTAGAAAGACAGATAACACGTCAATTTACTATAAACCCTTCCTGATACATGTCAGAACTTATGGTCTTAAAATCTGGACAAATCATTCACTATTAATATCAAAACATATCTGTGAATATAGAGTTATAGTAAAGCATTTAACACAATCATTAATCAATGTTATAATGAGTGTGGTCATAATACAATCATTTGGGACAAATCAAACCCTTTTTTCAGATTATTCAGCACATTGTGTAGTGAAAGTCCAGTAAGTGTTTATTAGGTTTATATAAGAGTTTAGTTTACTCTTACCCTTTACCAAAATCTCCAGGTTTACAAGAAGAGTGGAAGAGGCTATGATTTATCAAGCAAAGCATTTGAAAAAGGGAAGTTATAGGTTAAAATGTGTTTTGTCCTTATCAATCAATTGTCTCCATCCAAATGACAACAATGGACTGTAATTCCCATCACTGCATCTGACTGTGGAATTTAATATGTACAGAATACTGAATGCAGGTACCCACTAACATACTGCATAGTTCTCTAATGTAGAGGCAATACAGTGGACTGAAACTCCCATTGCTCCCAGCCAGCTTTTACTTACAGTCCATGGCAAGTGTACTTCTTATCTAATGTAGTTAGTTATCTAAGTGCAAAACTGGACACTGGGGTTAGGGGTACCCAAATGCAATATTCCCACTTAATTAAAGAACCTCCTAACCCAAAGTACCCTCCCCAACCCCCTAACCTTAATGTTGCATTTAGAATTTCTCATATTGATGCAGATCATGCAGTGCAATTACAGAATTGCTTTAAAGATTGTTAATATTTTTAAAACTGCAATTTTGGTGTTGTTAGAAATCAGTATGTGAAGAAAGAATTAAATATAAGGAATATATAAGAATTTAATTGTTAAAAATGTACAGCATGAAAGGTTGGATGGAAAACTAAAAAAGGGTAAATATGGGTAAACACAGAATGTAAAAAGTCACAGTTCTAACAAGTCGAAGTCCATCTAACACATTTACTTACTGTTGTGTTTGATGAATTTATTTTCATTTTAATCCGATAATCTTCCAGTCTGGACACTAACAGTTTACGGTTTGTGACTGGTCGATACATTTTGGTTTTAACAGACGTATTTGGCTCCAAAAAGTCTGCAAACTGGATTGGCTCTTTCATCAGCTTCTCTTTGGGCCAAGAAATCTAATAAAATAAAGGTAATCAGGGGTTAGAGGCACACTGTATGTACATCTTATCCTAACTGGTAATCTGTACCACAAGTGGAGTCAATTGGGACGTTTCCATTGGATTTTATTGAGGAGGAACTTGATTGAACCAGAATTACTGGCGAATTGAAGCACATGGTTCATCTACACATCACGTTCACAAGACAGCCAGGATACTATGACCATCTGTCATATATGATATACTGTTTAAAATATCAAACAGTATATCATATATGAAATCAATCAATATATATAAATACCAAAATATTGTTCAAAATATTAAATCATTTTAAAAGTTTAGCAACAAATGTTTAATTATTTGAAAATGTTATCCAACCAATTATATTATTATGGACCTTGAATAATAATATAATTAAAATAAAACAGAAGTGCTTTGGTGTGATGACCTTGGGTGGATTTGCCAGTAGACAAAGTGGGCAGCTGTCTATAGGTTCCTGCCTACAAGGGGAGCCTAATGAATACATATTTACTAGGCATGTGCATGATCAAAAAATTAGGTTCGGTTTGGAAATTCGGGTAAAAATTCGGCCCTTTGGTTCGGTTCGGCACTTCCGAAATTTGGGACTTCGGCAATTCGGTTTAGTATTTCCGAAATTCGTGACTTCGGCAATGCGGGACTTCAGAATTTGGAACATCTGTAAGGCTCCCTCACCATAACCCTACCCTAACCCTACTGCTAACCCTAACCCTACCGTAACCCTACCCTAACCCTACCCCTGTCATCATTCACGTAATTTTACCTCCCTCTCTTGTTTTGCCACTTTCAGAAATCCCAAGCACTTTGGCAATTCGGTTCAGTTCGCATTTCCAAATGTCCGAATTGCCCGAAATTTGTCCGAATTCACATTTGGAATGAAACTGATTGCATATGTCTAATATTGACATTTTCCCTATTTAGATATACTATATAGTGATAAATGTATTTACTTTGGTATGTGTTAACTGGGTTTGGTTTTTATTTGGGAAGGGAAGAATGAGAGGTGGACATCTTGACTCTCTATTAATGCTTTAGATCCTCATATTGGCACTACTCACTTTGTACTGCAGTCAGAAGACATAAACTGATTATTATTTATTATTCATCTTGACGTAAAATTAAAATAGCAATATGACAGTTTTCATTTAACGAGGAACTGTGACTTTTCAGGAATTTTTTTTAAATAGTATATTCAATCATTTTATATATTTAGAAAATATTTATTTGTGAGCTGTGAAAAATGAAATTAAATGATGAAATCTCCCCCTTTATCCTTCAATTAGGCGCCTCATTGTTAAAATCTCTGACCTTGGCACACGGCGGTCGGCACAGAGAGAGCATATAGAGAAGAGGAGAAATGAAACAATGTTTCTTATTCTCCTTCTCCTATGTGAAGCATGCCATGGCTGTGCCTGGATTCTATTGGATTCTGATATTGTTTGCTAAATCTTTTATATAAACTGAAAGAAACGGCATACCACATGAAAAACAGGCTAACACAAGTTCTAGGTGTTTTTCAAAGTTTAATTCAATGGTGTTATTTCCAGCGAAGTGACAGCCCCCCTTTTACACGGTACTGATCTAATCTGATACGTAGGATGGATATTTCAGATCATGAATACCTTTAAAGCATGAATTCAGAGCAATGCACTCTATGTAGGCACCACGTCATGGGATCCATCATGTTTTGATCATCTCAGAGAAGCCAAAAACATTCTGTTCATTTACTGTGAGATTCATGATAAGTTACCCTTTTTATTCCGTGTGCTAATTCATCAGAGCAGCTCCAGCCTCTCTGATCAAGAATTCCCATTGATTAATAGGAAGATCCTATATAATTCACATCACAATGAGTCTAGCTGTAGCAGACGCCAGGAGATTTAAACCCTATACCAAAGAAGGCTGACAATGTCAATTTAATGTATATTTTATACGGCACAACTAAGCAACACGGGGTAAATTAATCAGCAGCTGATGACTACAACACAAGTGCTCAATATTTATTAATTTTTTTACTTGTTTTCACAGATATTGAATAACACCTGGAAAAGCCAATGCACATGGCACAGCCAACCTTGGTAGTCCAAACACTCACCATAAGCGTTGCCAACTGCTTCTGCATATTCTTGCTTCTCGATTTTGTTTGCAGTATTATGATATTATGATATTGTTTTTTGTTGGATGGACTCACAATATTTTTATAGACAGTTTTTAGGGAGATCTTAAAGGTGACCTAGAGTTCTCAATATGACAAGTATTATTTCCAGTGCTGGACTCCTCTGCTGCAGCCACCCACTCCACCTCCAGTGATGTCAGCATCCAGGC